TGATTCCAGCTTCAGACAATCCTGAAGGCCCATGTCCAGATTCAGGCTCTATGATGATACCTCTGTGCATGCGAACTCACGTGTGAACTCGTGACCCCGGGTGACCACACAGGGCTCTCTCGTCACAGAGAGGGGCATTCACGGGCAGGCACGACCGTACAAAGAAGCTGCCGTCACACACCCACACACCATCCCGGTCACGCAGACAGCTGCGCACAGCCATGAACACAGACAGCCGTTCGCAAATCAAGTCAGAAGAAACGTGCAGGGAGCGCGTTGTAAATTCACAATAAATACAGGCGCGTGGACAGGAAAGGCAGGGATGCGGAGAGGACACTGAACTATCGGGATGAAGAGGAAATCCAGAAACTACATCTCAAAGGAACATGAAGAGGAAACAAAGGAACCAGATAGGACCCATACAGTGGCCCCAAGAGAAACACCCATAGGGCGCGCACACACAGTCGCTCACCACAACCAGACACAAATACGGCGGCAGAGAAGAAAGACACACGGACACAAGAGACACGCACGTCCGGGCGAGACACATAAACACACTCGGCACCCATGAGCGTTACAAAGGAGACACAGAAACGCCCCAGGGACATACACACGCAACCCCATGCAGATGAACTGCAGAAGCAGACCTCAGCAAGGCATGCAGGGGCCACAGGTAAAACACACGAGTTGGCCAGGCGGTCATAGATACAAGATACAGCGAGGTAAGCTACACAGCACGATGTGGGTGGAGCTCACATGTGTGTGTTTGAGGCTGAGAACATGTACAGGCAGATGAGATACACCGAGGATATCCAAACACACACACACACACACACACACACACACACACACACACTTCCCTTGTCTATCCCAGCCTATTCTGCTGTCTCTCTCCTCTCATATTCCACCTTCCCCGCCCGCCCCCCGCCCCCGAGCCATTACACATCTGTGCTACAGACCAGCCAGGGAAAGAGACACCTGTCGGCAGAGGCCTTGGCCTACATAGCTATGGTATGCGTGTTGGGGGGCGGGGGGGGCTGGCGAGGGGGAGAGGTGGCTAGGCAGGTGTCTAGATTTCAAGAAAAGATGAAGCGTCCTGTCCAAAGAACTAGTGTACCTTGGACAAAAAAACAGATGCCCCCACCCACCACATCCCAGCAGCAGTTTCCTGCCCTGATCATTCATTCCCCTGCCCTCACAGGGCCTTCCTAGGCCCTCCAGCATTGCCCAGGGCCGGGCCATCAGGCATACAGCAGGTGCTCAATAAATGCCACGTATCGAGTGTCCTATTATCATCATTTTTATTTTTATTTCTGCCAAGTGACCTCTTCTAGGGGAGGGACAAGCCCTCATCCAGCCCCGCGCCCCATAGCTTAGCTAAGTTTCAGGGCAAACGGCAAGTGTTCAACATATGCTGGTAGGAGGAAAAACAAAGGGAAAGTGAAATCTGGCTGCGGAGGGAGGGCAGCTTGCTTTAGAAGGAACAGATGTCTTTAAGCTTGACCGAGGCCTTGAGTCTGTGCCAGGGATAAGAAGGCTTTGTTAGTTCATCGAAGTTAAGGTCCTTTCGCGGGGTCATTTAAGGCTTTTGTGGGTTCGGTAAAGCAGACCCTTGTGTGACATTTGGGATTGCGATCGAGTCTATTAGAAGTCGGTTTGGGTTCCTGTGGGTTCTTATAAGCAGATCCCTGCTTTTCATTAAAACAGGTCACTGCTCAGCAGCCTTCAAGGGAGGGAGCCACAGAGCCAAGCAGTTAACAGCGTGAGCTTTCCCAGCTCTGCCACTTACTAGCTGTGTGGCCTGGGGCAAGTTCTGAAACCTCGGGGTCTCCGCTTTCCCCGGAGCAGAATAACATCAAACTCTTAGGGCCCTGGGAAGACTGAATGAATTAATACAGGTAAAGCACTTAGAACAATGCCTGACCCACCATAATTGCTCAATAACATATTTGTGAAAGGAATTAATGAATTCTTCTCCGCCTGTGAAAGCAACCCCCGACTGGGCTCCATTTAGGATTCTAATCTCTCCTTTCATGCAGGCTCCCCGCTGAGAGACTCTTCCGTCCCTCAAAGCAGCCCCTGGGCAGCAAGGCTTTTTGAGTCTGTGTCTGGTCCCCTGCACCTGGACCACCCCCGTCTTTCCCTCCCCCGGTAAGATGCCCTCCGCGGTACTGAGCTGGCCTGGCAGCTCCCCGCGCCTTGACCTCTTCAGGAGGCTGAGGGAGGACACCTTTACACTCAGTGGGGTGCCGGGTGGGAGCTGCAGGCCGACACCCTACTTCGGGAAAAGCCTGGGGAGTTCAGAGCCTGGATCCCGTCCCCCAAGTCCCCCAGCCCTGCTGGAGGAAGCAAGTTGCTTTGCAAAAAAATTAAACATCCTCTTTGTGAGAGGCAAGAAAACAGGACGTGGGAAGCATCCCACAGGGTGAACATGGGCCCCCAATGCCTGGCACCCCCTCCCCTCTGTGGAGCAGCGAGCGGCCAGGTGACTTGAACCCTTGCTTTCTCACCCTTGCTCACCTCCGCAGGGGAGCCGTGTTCCCACCGCCCCCCACAAGGCCCTGGAGCGCTGCTGATCAGCTCTTGCTTCCTCCCCGGCTCTATGGGACTCCTCTGGGAAGTGCTTCTCTTCCTGTCTCTGCCCGTCTGTCTACACCTCCCAGGGCCCCCGCATAAATGCAGAACGCACCACTGAGGAAAGAATAAAGGAGCAAAGCAACAAAAGGGCGGATTCAACATATGTCTACTGAATGCCACCTGTGTGCCGGGCCCTGTTCTAGAGCCGGGAGGCAGCAGCGAACAAGACAGAACAAAATTCCTGCCTAGTGAAGCTCAGTATTTCTAAGGAATGATGAATCAATCCTTGCAGTTCTTTGAATACTCACCAAGCTTGTTCTCACTTCAGGGTCTTTGCACCTGGTGTTGCCTGTGCCTCGAATGCTCTTCCTCCAAATATTCCTAGGGTGCGTTTCCCTTTAGGTCGCAGCTCAAATGCCACCTCCTCAGAGGAGTCTTCCCTGACTACGCTGTCTAAAAGAGCAACTCAGGGGCGCCTGGGTGGCTCAGTCGGTTAAACGTCTGCCTTCGGCTGGGGTCATGATCCCGGGGTCCTGGGATCGAGCCCCGCCTAGGGCTCCCTGCTTTGCTGGGAGTCTGCTTCTCCCCCCTCCTTTTTCCCTTCCCCCTGCTCGTGCGCCGCACTCTCTCTCTCAAATAAATAAATAATTTTTAAAAAAATAAAATAAAAGCAACTCAACCCCTCTGTTACTCTCCATCCCTTTCACCCTACTTTGTTATTCTTCATAGCTTTTATCACCACCTGACATAACATCATATATTTACACATATAATAGTATGTTTAATTTAGTACAGTTACTTTAGTAAGTAAATGTATATAGATGACAGTATATTTATATATAGCAGTACATACATTTAAAAGTCATATGCATAAGATATGTGTATTTTATATATACTCTATACAAATGCATAAATATATTATTATATTTTTCTTATATTTACATGTAACAGTATACTTATATTCATTTAATTTCCTACTAATATATAATCTATACCCCAATAAATACTATACATCACTATATTTCTATATAATCACATACATATTAAGCAGCATATATGTTTATACACCTAATGTAATATATAGCCTCCCTGTATATCTATAAACCGGGGATAGTTACAGAAACTACTTCAGATGGTTGTTATCAGGATTAAAATGAGTTCAAGGAAAGAATCCAGCAGTGCACTGGAGCCTCGCACAGGTTTGCAGACTGCTTGTTCAATTTTCAGGAATTTCGCGAACCAGTTGTTAAACAGCTATTATTTAAAATGAAATAATATAAACTTACAATTAAATAAATTAGATTATTTAAGGGGCGCCTGGGTGGCTCAAGTCGTTAAGCGTCTGCCTTCGGCTCAGGTCATGATCCCGGGGTCCTGGGATCGAGCCCCGCATCTGGCTCCCTGCTCGGCGGGAAGCCTGCTTCTCCCTCTCCCACTCCCCCTGCTTGTGTTCCCTCTCTCGCTGTGTCTCTCTGTCAAATAAATAAATAAAATCTAACAAAAAATAAATTAGATTATTTAAAAGGGGATACTCAAAACTCGTCACTTCCTGATTATTTTACTACATTTCACTATTCTCTACGCTCTTGAGGTCCTTTACCCCTATTTGAACGGTATGGTAGAAATATTACATAATGGTGCACTCCTGCATCTCTTCCAAACTCTGTGTCCCGTGACTACACGTTGGTAATTTAAAAATCTGACAAGATGATGGTATGGAAATCATGGAAAATTGGCAAATGTGAGACATCAGGGCTTCCTCCCCACCCCCCAGCCCCCAGCCCCCAGCCCCCGCCCAAAGAGCCGGTTGTTAGCCATTTACCAGAGCACTTAGAATAGGTGCTTGGCACATGGTAAACGCTTTAACGAATGTTTCCATTACTATATTTACTTGTGCACCAGGTCGCGACGCAGTCTTTTTCAGTGGATCGAAGTTAAAAACGTTTGAAGAACACAGAATTACAAAAGGACAGACACTGTGCTGAGCTAACCTATTCAAATCCTCCCAATAACTCTGTGAAGCCATACTACTTATTATCCCCATTTTACAGAGGGAGAAACTGAAGCTCTGAAAGCGTACAAGTCGAGCAGCGCTATCAGTGAGCTGAAGTGGATCCGCATCTTGCCACAGACCGGCTTCCGTGCTCCAGCGCACTTAATTAACGCATTCTCCTAAATCTCACGTTCCCGACGCCAGCTGTAATTTCACTTCGCGGCTCGCGTAAAAGGAATGGGTTCCGCCGTGCCCGTTGCGTCTTGGGAAATGTAGTCCCCAGTGAACACGCCGGTCCAAAAACGGAGGGGCGGGGAGCAAAAGCCACCGTAGCCTCGGAACAAAAGAAGAGTCGGTTCTGACCGCCTCGCGACGTTTGTGCGCGACTTCAGCAGCTGGGGTCGGGCCCGTTGCATGCTGGGATCGGCAGTCCGCGAGAGGAACTACGTCGACACAAGATGACGGGGACTCACGTTGTACGTTCAGGTGGGGTCCGCGCCGCGCCGGAGCCTTCGCGTTCCACGATGACAGGCTCGCCACGCTGCGGGGGTCCGTAGGCATGCGCGTCAGGCTTTCAGACTAAGAGCACAAACTGAAGCCTTACGATTTCTGGCGGGTCTGCGCTCTCGCCGCGGCTCGGGCTGCTCACGGACCGGTCTCCTCGTCCCCCTCCTCCCCACCCCGAAAGCTAAGGTAGGCCCTGGGGCGCGGAGGACGTGGGTCCGGGCCGAGACAGCTGAGGCACGCCTGCGCTGTCCCGCCGGCGAGGGAAGGAGGGAAGTTCGCCTTCCGTGCTGCAGCCGCGTAGTCTGGGCGGCTGGTGCCGGTTGGGCTCCAGACCCAAGGTTTGTCTGGAAGGGAACCGCTGTGCGGGGTGGACGGGGGGCGGGGGGCAGTGCAGGGCTTCAGATACCGGCGGAGCCTCCTTGAATGGGGTCTGGTGGTCCCAGTGGGGACATGGGCTTTGAGGTAATGATGCGAGACCGGGAGCGTGGCCAGAGGGCTGTTAATGGGAGAGGGGCGTGGGTCGCATGAAAGTACTGGAGGTCTGATGGGCGTGCTATCGGGAATCGATGGGGGCTGATAGGAGTGTTTTAGTCAACATGTTCATGGGGGCCAGCGGTGTGTTCATTGATGAATGAAGGGGTGGTAGAGTGGGCAGCTAGAAAGAAGGTAGTGGGAGGCGGATGGGGGCGTGATCCCTGGGGGACTGCTGAGGTATGATAGTAAGTTAATGAAGAGCGGTGGGACAATAGTAATCCAAAGAATAATGGTGAAGCTATGGAGGGAATAATTGAAGCCAGTGGGAGTCATGATCAAGGAAAAGTGAATGAGAGGTAGGTGTGTTGTAGTCAAAGGGTTTTGGGGAGTCATGGCATGATAACTGAGGAATTAATGGGAACAGTGAGCAAAGAGAGGGTAATAGTAAGCTGCTGGGGTGTGATCATCAAGTGATTATTGAGGGGGCAAGGTGGGCGAACTGATGTGTGATCATCAGGGATTAACATGTGTGGTAATGAAGGGGTTACAGGGGGCTAACGGTGAGATCAATGAGGGATCAGTTGGAGGGCTGGGTTAATGGGAGCTGATAAATCATAGTAATTGAGAGCTTAATGGGGAACTAATAGGCCATGATCCTCTACTCATTAATGGAGGTTGGTAAGGATGTAGTAATAAAGGAGTTAGTGGGGGACTAATCATTTATTAATGGGGAATGGGGTGGGGAGAGATTAAGGGGGTGAGGAGTACCATGAGGTAGTAGTAGGATACTGGGGGTAAGAGCAAGGCTGATAGGGGTGTATGAATTTAGGGGCCGTGAAGACAGCTGGGGAGATGGTCAGTGAGATCTTAATGGGGGTGAGGTGGGCGAGTGTCACGGGGCTTGATGTGTGGAGTATGGGTGGGCAGCAGTGGGAGGCCCACAGGGTCGGCAATGGGTCATCTATAAGTGTTGGGTTTGGGGATCTGTGGGGGTGAGTGGGGGAGTCTGTGGAGTGAGCAGGGCGGGTTCTGTGGGGTGAGCAATGAAGCCTTAGTGCTCAGTGATGGAGTCCCTCCGGCCTTGTGAGGTCAGTGGGGTCAGGGACTGGGCTCCACTTTCCCCATCTGCGGAGTGAGCTGTCCTGGGGGTCCTGGGGCGGTTTGTGTGGTTCTCACTGCCCTGCAGACATAGATGGTAGCCCACTCCCCCAGTTACTGATACAGGGCAGCATCAGCTTACTGTTGGCAGGTCCCTGGGCAGACAGCGTGTGAGATGGGACGGACATCAAAGGACAAGCGGGATGTCTACTACCGCCTGGCCAAGGAGAATGGCTGGCGTGCCCGCAGTGCCTTCAAGCTGCTACAACTTGACGAGGAATTCCACCTCTTCCAAGGTCCCCACCTGGCGGGCGAGTCACCGGGGGATGGGGTGGGCAAAGGGAGTAGACAAGTGGGCCATGTCGGCAGAGCTTCCTGTGGTAGGTGGGCTGACTTGGAGGGTCTGCGGGGCAGGGATGGGGCAGGAAGAGGGGCAGGTGACTTGGAAGGAGTTGGGCACGGAGAGATGTGGGTGCTCCCCCAGGGGAGAGGGGTGACCTTTGCAGGGCTCAGGGTTGGAGAGGTGGGTGCAACTGACCACTGCATGTCCCTGTGTGTGCTCAGGTGTGACACGGGCAGTTGACCTGTGCGCAGCCCCGGGCAGCTGGAGCCAGGTGCTGAGCCAGAAAATTGGGTGAGTGTGGGCTCCCAGATGGGGCAGCTGGGAGGGCAGGCCAGGTCAGGGATGAGTCAGGAGTGACAACTGGGCTGACGTGGGCCATGTTGTCCACAGGGGCCAGGGTTCTGGCCATGTGGTGGCCGTGGACCTTCAGGCTATGGCTCCATTACCAGGTGTGTTACAGATCCAAGGGGACATCACCCAGGTAAGAGCGTGGTTGGGGGTGTTGGGGTGTATCCCGGGTGAGAGCCCCTCCAAACCTGGCAGCTACGGAGAGTGGAAGAGAAAGACAGAGTGTCACAGTGGAGAAACAGAACCAGCCGGTCATCATTTCAGCCAGCCAGAAATGATGGGACTGGGTCCCCAGAGATGGAACCCAGTGTTAGACCAGTGAAGCCTGAGGGTTTGGCTGCCCCAGGGTTGTGGCTAGGGCCCTGGGCAGGCGGGGTTAGAGGGCTGCGGACGGGGGGCCCGGGACCACTCGTCTTCCCTCTCTTCTGTAGCTGTCCACTGCCAAGGAGATCATCCAGCACTTTGAGGGCCGCCCAGCGGACCTAGTGGTGTGCGACGGGGCTCCTGACGGTAAGCAGCAGGGGTCAGGAGGCCTGGCGGGAGCCCTGTGGGCATCCTTCTCTGTGGCTCCCACATCTGCTGGCTTCTCTCTTTATTTCCTTTTTTTTTTTTTAAGAGAGGTGGGGGCAGAGGGAAAGGGAGAATCTTAAGCAGGCTGCACGCCTAGCACGTGGCGCGGGGCTCGATCTCACGACCCTGAAGTCATGACCTGAGCCGAAATCAAGAGTCGGACACTGAACCGACTGAGCCACCCAGGCGCCCCCTGTTGGCTTCTTTCACCACTTCAGCTACTCCCTGCCTCCCCTCTGCTCTCAGCTGTCCCTCACCTGTCCCACATCTAGCAGTTTCTCCCTGCCCCTGCTTCCTGATCTCTGCTTCTGTCCCCTCCGTCTCCGTACCCTGCCACTTCGGTCTGGCTGCTATCTACCTTTCCCTTTGCTCACCTCTCATCTGCAACTCTCTCTTTCTGTGGTGCTGCTCATTCCTGTTTTCCAGTCAGCCGTTCACTCGGTGCACATTTATCAAGCACCTGTTGTGTGTCGGGTACTGTTCTACAAGTGGGGAAAACATTTGTGAATAAAATTCTACTAATCTGACCTCACAGACCTGACGTTCTAGTGGGAGCAGAGGGAAAAGAAACAAATGATGGAGTCACATAGCATGCGAAGAGATGATAGGTACCATGAGGAAAATCAGTGGAAAGGAGAAGGAGACAGGGAGTACCTGTTGGCATTTTAAGTAAAGTGGATGGGAAGGCCCCCGTGACCTTAGCACAAAGACTTAAAAGAGGTGAGGGAGTAGGCCAGGGGCATATCTGGAGAACGAACCGTGCAGGCAAAGGGACCAGCCAGTGCAAAGGCCCTGAGGTGGGAGGGTGTTTGGCATGTGTGAGGAACCGCGAGGATATCAGTGTGTTTGGATCAGAGTGAGCGAGGGGGGAGTGGTAGGACGGGAGGTCAGAGAGGTGGCGGGATGCGGGGGGCAGATCCTTGTGTGGGTCCTTGTGGGGGCCACAGTGAGCACTGTGGCTTTTTCCCTGAGATGAGAGCTCAGAGAAAACCATGAGAGGGTTGTGAGCAGAGGAGGGCCATGCTGACTCCACTTGTGACCGGACCCCTCTGGCTGCTGTGAGCTGTGTGAGGGGCGAGGGCGGGAGGAGGAGGCCACAGCATAGCCCAGGCGAGCGATGACCGGGGTGGCGGTGGCGGAGATGAGGCGAGAGGATTGATCCAGGAGCTTTTGTGCAAGTACAGCCGACAGGACTTGCTAATGCTTGAACGTGGTTGTGAGAAGAGAATGGAGGGTGTCAACGGTACAAAGGTTTCTGGCTGGAACAACTGGAAGGATCAGATGGCACGGGGAAGATGGCGTAAGGAGAGAGGTTTGAACAGGAAGGTCAGGAGTCTGGTCTTGGACGTGTCAGAGTCTGATCTGTGAGTCAGGCGCTCAGAGGAGCAGTTTGGGTTGGAGGTAAGAAATGATAACAATGATACTTGTGTATAAGGTTGTTTTGAAAATTAAAATGAGTGCCTGAGGGCTAGGAGCCCAGAACATGCATCCAGTTGGCAGATAGTAATTTGCACGCAGAACCTTAGTAGTAAGAGAGCCTGGAAAATGTTTGTAGCATCCCGACCTGTCTGGGACAAGGAGCTAGCCAGAACCGGATGGCCCCCCCTAATGCTGTTCCTCTTGCCGCAGTAACTGGCCTCCATGATGTTGATGAGTATATGCAGGCCCAGCTCCTCCTAGCCGTGAGTAACCTTGGTAACCTTGGCTGCCCCTGCCTCAGTTTGGACCCCTCGTGCCTGTCTCCACCTCTGCCTTAGCCGTTTGTCCTGCCCACAGGCTCTCAACATTGCTACACACGTGTTGAAGCCAGGAGGCTGCTTTGTAGCCAAGGTAAGCCTTGGAGAACCTGGCGAGGGCTAAAGCGGGGTCCTCCAGGGCCACCCTCGTGCCTTCATCTCTGTTCCCTTGCCCTGCAGATCTTCCGAGGCCGGGATGTGACCCTGATCTATAGCCAGCTGCGCGTCTTCTTCTCCAGCGTGCTGTGTGCCAAGCCCAGAAGCAGCCGGAACTCCAGCATAGGTCAGAGGGCTGGGGGGCCAGGCAGGCGGGTGCCGGTCTCAGGCGTGCGTTCGCTGCGGGGTGCGGCTAGCGGTCGCCCCTCACTCCACCTTCCACCCACAGAGGCCTTCGCTGTCTGTCAGGGTTATGACCCCCCTGAAGGCTTCCTTCCGGACCTGACCAAACCCCTGCTGGACCACTCTTACGGTGAGAGCCAGAGCCCTGGGCCCCTCCTGGGGCGGGGGGTGGGGGAGGACTCTGCCCCCTTCTGGAATTTATGTCTCGGGAGGGCCCTCGGCCCCACCCCTTGGTGGAAACTTACCCTTTATGGAACTTCTGTCCCAAGATGATCCTTAGCCCCACCCTCGGGTGGGAATTCCACCCCTGTATGGATGTTTTGTCCCAGGAGGATCTTCATCCCAGTCCTCTAATGGTTACTCTCAGATCTCAAGTCCTGCCCCAGGGGAGATTCCACCCACCTAAGATTCTAGCCTAGGAAGACTCGGTCACGCCCTCAGGTGGATACTCCACCCCGGTGCGGGAGTTTTGCCCCGAGAGTCTTTAGCCTGGTCCCTAGCGGGAAAAGGCACAGAGTCTGCTCTTAAGGTGAGCACACTTGAGTGAGACAGGGTTCAGGCAGCATATGGTAGAATCGCAAGTGAACATAAGGTGCCATGTGAGAAAAGCAGGGGAGGGGGATGTTCTAGAACAGGTGATCATGGAGGCCCTCCCTGAGGAGGTGATCTGAACCAAATGAAGGATTTCCGGTGGAGGAGCTGGTAGGTACATGGGGAGGACTCCATACCCTTGCTGTAGAAGGAGTCCCAACTGGTCCCAGGCACCCCAGCCCTGTCCTGTCTTATTTCTCCCTGCTTGTCAGATCCAGATTTCAACCAATTGGATGGTCCCACTCGCATCATAGTGCCATTTGTGACCTGTGGGGACCTAAGCTCCTATGATTCGGACCGCAGTTACCCACTGGACGTGAGTGTCCAACCAACAGTGGGCAGATGGGGGGGCACCGTCCTAGGTTCCCAGGTCCTCACTGTCCCCCCCCACCATGTGTCCCTACAGCTAGAGGACGGCTCAGAGTACAAGTATACTCCACCCACGCAGCCCCCCATCTCGCCACCGTACCAGGAGGCCTGCACGTTGAAGAAGAAAGGGCGGCTGGCCAAGGAGATCCGTCCCCAGGACTGCCCCATCAGCACAGCGGACACGTTGTCGCAGCCCCTGGCTGCTTCCCAGCGCCACACCCTGCTGGCCTCTGAGGTCTGGAAACGTGTGGCCCAGGGCCCTCAGTGCCCTTTCTCGGAGCCCACATGACCCCCTCTCAGTGTACCCCTTTCTGCCCCCAAATCACAAGGTCTCTGGGGCCAAAACACTCCTCTCTGCCTCCCAGTAGCTGTAAGAATCAATGGGTAAGACCAAGTGTAATGAATGGAAAACCTTAGGCAAGTATCTGAGTCATTTTTCTTTTTCTTGGGTAGGTGGAAGACAATGAAATGAATTGTTCACCTTAATACATTCAGGTAAATTTGCCTTTTTATCTAACAGTTTGAGTAAAGGGCACCTTTAAGAAAAAGAAAAATTTCACCTTTGAAATGTTTTTTTTATTATTAAAATGTTTTATTTATTTATTCATGAGAGTCAGAGAGAGAGAGGCAGAGGCAGAGGGAGAAGCAGGCTCCCCGCCTAGCAGGGAGCCCGATGCGGGACCCGATCCCAGGACCCCGGGATCATGACCTGAGCCGAAGGCAGACGCTCAACCATCTGAGCCACCCAGGCGCCCTCACCTTTGAAATTTTTACATTAACTGAGAAGACTTCAGTCAGCCAGCCATTACGAAGTACGTGATGTCGTGTGTCGGGGCCTGCTTTAAGCGTTGTGCGCATTGAGGCGCTCAGTAAACATTTATTAAGCATGTGCTGTGGGCTGGGCATTGTTCTGGGTCGGGAGAGAGAGCAAACAAAACAGGCAAATATCCTGGCCCTTTCTAGATTGAGAAAGAGGTAATAAACAAACAGCTTATGAATGCAGGAGTTCCTACACACAGCATACCCACAGATACACTACGTATACATAGACGTATACATAGACATTGATAGCTTGCATTTCACTATAGATAGCTTGAATCAACATATTGTATATACGTATACAGGTGTGTGTGTGTGTGTGTGTGTGTGTATGTAAAGGTAATAAGGGATATGAACATTTTTTTTTTTAATAAAGTAGGGTAAAGAGAATCAGGAATTCCGGGGGTGGCAGTTTGCAGTTTTTAAAAAGGTTGTCAACGAAGGGCTCACTGAGGTAATGTTTGAGCAGAGACCTGAAGGAGACAAGGGAGAGCATGTGTGTGTTCATCTAGGGGAAGAGCATTCCACGGAGAGGGAGGGAATAGCAAATACAAAGGCCCTGAGGCAGAACCATGCGTGGTGTGTGAGGGAGCTGTGAGGGGCCAGTTTGCCTGCAGCAGAGTGAGCCAAACCTCTCTGTGCTGGAGGACTTTTCATCCTCAGGAAGTCACGTCAGAGAAAGTCCCTTTCTGACAATGGCTTAGCAGGGTTTTTAGACCAAGTCTTCCATTAAAAAAAGAAGTAAAGGGGTGCCTGGGTGGCTCAGTTGGTTAAACGACTGCCTTCAGCTCAGGTCATGATCCTGGAGTCCCGGGATCGAGTCCCACATCGGGCTCCCTGCTCGGCGGGGAGCCTGCTTCTCCCTCT